CAAACGTTAATTGTTAATGTTACCCAGGTTTCATGTCGACTTTATGGAACTGAGTGAATATGTTACTACTGTCCCCAACAGAATTTTACCTGGTGTAATTTTGGTAATAATCAGGGCAGAAATGAACTTCAAAATCACAATAGAAGTTTGGTGGAACAAAGCAGCCCTGCTGAACAAAACATAACGTGTATCATGGATTTTCCTAGAAATACAATTTAGTTGGTGGATTATAGACATGCTGAATTTACCTTAACACCAAATCTCCAGCTTCATGTTCTGAATTATGATTTCACAAACAGTTAAGGCTTAGACAAATCTACCCAATATCAGAGTGAAGTTTGGCTTCCCCCACATGGCTATCAGGGAAATTGTTGCAAGATACTGTGTTCAGCTCAGTTTATATTTAGCTCAAGACACTACGCAAACTGTCTTTTTACACTTAATATTTTATGAGCGTAACTGCAGTCATTGTGTATTGGTCTTTCTTTGATCGGTTAGAAGGGCATGGCCTGACAATCAACTGTAGATGTCATGATCTGGTGTGTGCGCACTGGGTTAAACTGTCTCAGTGTGGTAAAATTAAACTCTGACTTCACGTCCACTGGGTTGGCGGTGGTGGCCTGAGATGGTGCAACCTGCTCCCCTTCTCCCACCGGTCCCTGGGGGAACGAACCGTCCAGGACGTCCTCATCGTCATCCTTCATCCTCCCCCCGTAAACATTGTGTGTTCAGTATACACTATGCTAAATGTTCAATGGGATTCATTATCATTTAAATTAAATCTTCTTTTTTTAAAGTCCTTTTAATTTATTTGATCTTTTCTAATTAAATATCTGGGACAGTAATGTACTTAATGAAAATACCTGGGTTCTGTGACAGCTGCATTTATGGACATTGAAATTCTGCAGTGTTGTGGAAATATTGTATTGTATATAAGCTCTAAAGATTTTAACTGAATGGCTCGTTTTCCCTTTAACATCAAAATTAACTGGCAACACGAATTATCCGTGAAATCAATGATTGTGGGTGTAACACCATCTTACTTTTCAGAACATTATCTTCATTGTTTGTTGTTGTCATTTGTATAAATTGACGATTTCAAGCCCCAAGCAAGTCCTGTAGAAGTCTTATTAGTCCTCCATGAAGTCCGCTATGTGACGACCATTTTTCCATTCTCCTGGCATGTTGCCTCACTCTTCTTCTGCAGTTATGGGAGTTGGCTGGAAGGTGGAGCTTGGAGGGTGGCTAGTTAATATCAGCCCCTTTGGGTAGGGCCTCCCAAAAGGCATAAAGGTCCGCCCCTCAGGTAGTCTCTCTCTCTCAGCTGGGCCTGCTGCAGACACTACAGCCTGTCTCTCTCTTTGTTTGGTTTGTTGCATCTTACAACATACACTACACCATATTTTCACCCATCCACACACTTCTGACATGACTGATGACTTTCTTACTTACACACACCATTTGGTTGGTTACTTTGTTTACTCATTTGAGTTAAATAAATAATTTTCTTGTGTCTGTGTGTGGCCTCCCTTTTTGTTGCTGGCTTAGAGCCAATCGGTAACAGCTAGCATAGCATTTATGAATGCGCAGTGCCAGATCCGGAACGCCGTTTGCTCGTTTTCATAGCCCAGAGACACGATGGGAGTGACACTACTGCACATATTCAGTGGGCCACATAACGCGGAAGTAACCTGGAAGCCAGAAACTTTTTCGGCGTATGCGCCAGGTGAGCAATTTCTATAGAACAGAGTGGGCACCATTTTTAGATCCGGTATCAAAGTCTTACAAGACATCCATGACATAAACACTCGCAGGCACCTCTGGGTGTTGACTTCGGGATAGAGGGCTGGGTGAAAACGCCGGTTACTCTTCCTACCCTCTTACGACCCCTTTTCTCCTGCTTCTTCAGGGTCACGGGATGAGGCTCGGTTGAAAGTACGCCTAGCTCGTCTCCATTTGGAGGCTCAAGAAAAGGCACAGGATCGTCAGACACAGCTTGAGTTCCACCTGCAAGTCAAAAAGCTGGAAATAGAGGCAGACAAAGCTGCATCAGATTGAGCTTAATTCACAAAGAGACTCTTACGTCAGAGGCCGTCTCAGTTACAACAGGCACACCTTTCACTTCCACTAGTTTACAACAGAATTCATTTGATATCAGTAAATATATTGCCTTGGTGCCAACCTTCTGAGAAAAAGTGGACTCATATTTCAGCGCCTTTGAGCGTATTGCAGCGGCTTCTTAATTGGCCTCTACATGCCTGGCCCTTGCTGTTGCAGTGCAAAATTCATGGGAAAGTCCACGAGGTAGTGTCAGCGCTTCCCTTAGAGGACAGTTTACTGTATGACACAGTGAAGACTGCAATTTTGCGTGCCTATGAATTGGTTCCAGAAGCCTATAGACAAAAGTTCAGAGACCACAGAAAGTCTTCAACTCAAACCTATGTAGAGTTTACTAGGGATAAGGGAAGCCTCATTGATAAATGGTGTTCTGCTGGTAAAATTGAGGATTTTTCTGGCCTACAAGAGCTCATGTTGCTGGAGGAGTTCAAGAACAGCTTGCCGGAGCTCATAGTGGTATATTTAAACAAACAGAAGGTGGGGTCATTATCTGCTCCAGCTGTCTTGGCTGGTGAGTATGTGCTTACGCACAAGGATACCTATTCCTCCCTTTCCATTGACAGAGCCCGTTCAATTCCTGCCACTCAGGGTAGCACTAACAAAGCTCCTGCTGGTCACAAAGAAGAGAGAGAATGCTTCTATTGCCACAAAGCAGTTATCGCACATTGTTTACTGTTAAAGCGTAAAGAGCAGCAACAGTTGTCTCCGAGTGCGCCAACTCCAAAAGGCATCGGGTTAATTCAATTGAGACTGTGTGAAACGCCCGTAGATCAGTGCGGCGATGAGCGCCCCAACCCTTGTTTCAAACCGTTCATTTTCGAGGGTCTAGTGTCATTAACTGGCAACCCAGGGGATCAGCGTCCTGTGTGTATTTTGCGTGATACTGGGGGTTCCCAATCTGTCATTCTTACCAGAGTGTTTGCCCTTTTCCAACTAGTCTGCCTGTGGTTACAGTACTGTACTCGAGATGGGTTATGTCCCGTGGCCACTGCACCAGGTGCATGTGCAGTCCAAATTAATCAGTGGATTTTTCCCTGTAGCTGTCTGTCCAGCTCTGCCAATCCATGGTGTCACTATGTTAATGGGAAATGATATTGCTGGGGGTAAAGTGTCTCCTACCCTCGAAGTGTTAAATGTCACACCTACACTTTCCGATCACTATGGCAGTTTGGCACAACCGGGTTTGTTTCCCTCCTGTGAAATTACACGAGCGCAAACACGGCAACTTTGCACAGAGGGAAAGACTCAAAACCCAGCAGATGTTGATTTGTCTGACTGTATGTTGATGAAAGTTTTCGCAGTGGACACAAAATTGGACACCAATGTGCCGACCGAATCTCCTGCAAAAACTGGAAACGAACAGGTAAAGAAAATCAGTGTCCTGTTGCCAGACGAGCTCCGGCTACCGGTAACTCGGGAATGACTCATTGGTGCTCAGAAAATGGATCGAACCTTACATAAATGTTTGGCAGCTGTGGTGAGTAATAGTCAGAGTGGGATTCAAGCCTAGACATATTTTGTTGACCATGACGTGCTCATGCGTAGATGGTCACCGACAATAGCTGAGGAGATGGATTGGAGTATAGTAAATCAAATTGTCGTGCCCACCGGTTACTGCTTTATGGTCATTTAGGTGTTAACAAAACCCACAATCGCATTTATAAACACTTTTTCTGGCCAGGTTTAAAGTCTGATGTTACTGAACATTGTCACATTTGTCCGTTGGCAGGCAAACCATAACAGATCATTCTGCCGGCTCCGTTGTGTCCAATACCCGCCATCGGCGAGCCATTTGAGCAAGTCATAATAGGCTGTGTTGGTCCACTACCCAGAACAAAGTCCGGAAACCAATATTTCCTCACCATTGTGTACGCTGCCACTCCTCCGCGGAGGGTAATGTGTTGGATTACGTCAGCAGATTACGTGAGCGTTTACATCCCGCCCGCGCCTGTGCACGGAAAGCGCTGGCTAGCTCCCAGGTGGAGATGAAAATTCGGCCCAACATTTCGAAGTTGGCGTTAAAGTGTTGGCTCTATTACCAATCCCTCGCTCCTCTCTCTCTCTCTGCGGGCTTTTCCGGACCGTACAGTATCCACCAGAAGCAGAGTGATACAGATTATGTCATCAGCACTCCTGACAGAAAGCAAAAAACTCGAGTCCGTCACATAAATATGTTAAAGCTGTATCACTCTCGGGATGATAAGACTGGCTCTGCGGTCCTGACAAGTGGCTGCTCCGTGTTCGTTGTAACCGAGATTTGTCCAGATAATGAGGATGGTTTATCATCATCGCAGATAAACTATCCTCATTATCTGGACAAATCGCCCTTCCTCCACACCGAGTGTGCGGTTGCCAAATTCAGAGATGCTGGAAGTGTTGCCACGTCAACTCAGCTATCTAGAAGTTAAACAACAACATGATATTATAGCTCTAGTTGCAGAGCTTCCATGTCTGTTTGGCGGTATTCCCACTCAAGACACTGTATTAAAACATGACATAGCCGTGAGGGACGCCAAACCAATCAAACAACACCACTACCGGGTAAATAAGATAAAAAGATCTGATGAGAAAGGAGACCCAGTATCTGCTAGAACATGGATTGGCCATACCCAGCTCTAGCTCTTGGAGCTCACCCTGTCTGTTGGAAGCCAAATTCTCTGGTTCACCTAGGTTTATTACTGATTTCAGGAGGGTCAATGCAGTCAATGTGCCCGAATTCATATCCATTGCCAGGAATGGAAGATTGCATGGATAACTTGGGCTCTGCCAAGTTCGTCAGTACATTAGATTTACTTAAAGGTTATTGGCAGGTGCTGCTGACGGAGCGTGCGTCAGAAATCTCTGCCTTCATAACTCCAGGTTACTTTTTACAATATACCATTATGGCATTTGGGATGTGCAACGCCCCTGCTACCTTCCAACGGTTCGTAAATACTGTCCTGGCTGGCGTGAACAATTGCAATGCTTAGCCGGATGATTTGATTTTCCACTCCGCTACCTTGGCTGAACACCTGAGAATGTTCACCTGAAGTGTTCAGCTGACTTGCAAAAGCGTCTTTCACTCTGAATCTGGCCAAAAGTGAGTTTGGGAAGGGCACCGTCACATACTTGGCCAGGCAGGCAGGTTGGTCAAGGTCAGGTCCGTTCCATCGAGGCGGAAGTTACTGCCAACACTGAATTCCCTGTTCCAACCACCATGCGTGCATTGCGTCGTTTCTTAGGTATGACTGGCTACTACAGAAATTTCAGTAGGAACTTTTCTGCTGTGGTTAATCCGCTGACTAAACTCACCAGTCCTAAAGTCGACTTTAACCCTTGAATTATATTTGTTTCTCCGCCCTTACTTTGGTGTTCCCGGTCAAATTTGACAGGTCTGGTTTAACTGCTTACATTAACACAAAAAACATCATTCAAACATAATCATTACCAAATTTAATTTAACACCTTTTAATGCTGTAAACAATGTCTCCAACTAGTGGTGAACATGAATAACTGCAGTGAATATACAAAGAGTAGACACTGAAAATTATAATAATAATCAAAACAGAGACCAAATTCACGGAACATCAGAAAATCAAGATGAATAGTCATTTGTGTGAGTGGCATTGTGCAGTCAGGTTGGAATATGCTTTGCAAACGTAGGATCACATTTGTAGAATGTCAGTCTTGTTTTATTGTCTCTCGGGGCACAAAGCTTGCATCTCTTCCTCTTTTGCCCCTGTCCTTGTTGGGGGGGGGGGGGGGGGGGGAGCAGTGACTGGGGCTGGGGCTTGCAGACTCCTAACCAGACTGGTAGAGGCTGGTGTGCACGGAAGGTGCTGTCGCCATTGAATGAGAGGAGTTGCTAAAGCTTTCCCAAGCTCTGCCAGGAAGAGTCGCTTCTTGAAGCATTTCCCCCGATTCCAGGCTGGGTCGATCTCCATCCACACCACGTATGCATTATATGCAGACACATCCAGGATGTTGTGGAACACCACCATGTTTCAAACTAAGTGATGACCATCAATAACTAGGGATGGGAATTGATAAGATTTTATTGATACCAATGCCAATATCGATTCTGCTTATCAATCCGATTCTTTATGGATTCCCTTATTGATTCCTGTGGATTTTCTGTGTGGAAAAAAGTAGTCCTATACAGATTTTCAGTGTCAACAACGCAAATTTTATTATGAGTTCCTGAACACTGAACAAGATAGATAACTGCTCTGTAGTTGTCAGTGGCAATTGCTCTAAGACTGCAAAGGAAGCTCAGCTTCCCCTAAAATGTCAACAAAATAAGTGGTCAAATATGTGCTGTTGTTTGTACATTTCATTGACTAAATATGCGCTAGAACACGTTCATCTTTTGTTCAGAATCAGCTACTTATCACAGGTAACCGACACGACTTCCTTCTCATTCATCCCCGCAGCGCCACAGTGCTTTACACAGTGTAGACGCCGAGCGTCTACTGACTTCAGTGGGGAAGCACAGAGTGGGTTGTTCCACCGCAGCGAAACTAGACGGTCATTGGATAAATGCTGGGCTTTGTCCCGCCCATCGGACGCTCAGCGTCTCTGGGGGTCTATGGGGCAGTGGGCTGGCCCGGACGCTTAGCTTCTGCATGATGATTGGATGATCTGTCTGAGGCTGAGTCCCTTCTTGATTGACAGCGAAATGAGCGAATCAGCGATCTTGAAGTATAAGCATCCACCTGAGCATTTTTCAAGTTTTTCATTCCGTTGTTCGGAGTCGATCTGGAGACGTTACTGATCCTCAGCCACTTTGTCTTTGTTAAAAATTACTAGCGTTGTGTTTGACGACTCTCTTCTGTCACTCTGCGAATTTACATATAAATAAACGGACACATTTTATGATGTAGGCTGAAAATGAGCTTCCCCTCCTTATAAGACCAGCAGCCGCCACTGGTAGTTGTTCAATCCCTCGTGGAGGGGGTGCTTGTAGGGTCCTTGTATTAATTTACTAAAAAAGAAAAAAAAAAGTCTCGGATAGGAGCCAGCTCCCATCGTTCATTTAAAAAAGCCGGCTCGTACACGACCTACACATCACTAATACGTACCTTCACTGCTGTGCTGAGACTGGGAAGCACTTGTTGACCGGTGCCATAGAGTGTCAAACACACGACACTCCTGATATTTAATGCCCTGCTGCATCTACAAATGTTTCAGCATGTTGCTGATGTTTCCACCATTGCTTGAAGTCTTAGTGCCACAGACATTGCACATATCGCTGTTGGCGTCATTTGTGTGAAATTAAGCCACACTTCCTCGAATCCTTCGTTGTCGTTCAGGCTGACAGCCTCTCGCGCGAGCATGACGTCATTGTTTGGCATGGCATGTGGAACTAAGTGGAAGGCATTGATAAGGGAATCGTAAAGCATAAACTGGAAATGGTTCTCAATTCCCATCCCTATCAATAACACAGCAAGCTGACTTCAGAGCCTCCTGATACAAATATAATGGAAGCAGATGAGCCAGTGTGTCCCTCAACCTCAGCACCAGTTATTTATACTTTTTCATTAAGGGTATATGTCACTGATACTGGGTGCACATCAAGTACTAAACTTCATTTACACATTTGTGGATCTGCTTTTTGTGCATGTCAGTTGGATCCTGTAAACATGTAGACCATGCATCTGACTGTATTTGTATGAGCATGTATGAGCAGCTGAGAATGTCTTCTCTCTACACATGGAGCTCTGCCCTCTAGTGGCACCAGCAGCTTCTTCTCTGCTGCAGCTGCTGATCTGGCTCCTTTCAGTTGATGCAGCTTCACACTGTTTATCATGACTTCATCATGTGACTGTTGTTTTACTTTGAAACGATCACAATTTTAAATGTGGTGAATACTTGAGACAGAAAATACTAAAGTAAGAGTAAAATTACTGATTTTTAGAAACACTCAAAAAAAACTTCTTTGTTAACCAGGACAGATGTAACTTGTGACCTCCACCTCTGTCAGGTACAGAAATGTACTGTATGGGATCCTACGGAAACACATTCCTGCCACATGAAGATAAAGAAAGGAAGAAAAGGAAATTCCACTGTTTATTTTCCTATGTTAACTACTGATTGATACTGATGAAATATTAATAGTTGATTAGAATCAACTTGTCAAATATAATATGTTTGTGATGAAAACATTAGAATTGGACTCCCTTGTAATTTGAGACTAACTGTCTGAAGGCTCCTGTGCAGGTGGTGTTGATCAAATAAAAGATGAAAAGTTTGACATGATAAATTATTAATGAATATTTGACATGATAATAGTATTCATATGTAATGTCTTGGGGGAGAAACAGTCATTGTTCTTGCTAGAAATGTACGTATGTAAATATATCAACTCAAATTCATTAATGAATACATTTGTAATTATAAATGTTGTATTTGTTTAAAAAAAAAAAAAAAAAAGTTTTAGGGTTAGGGTTTGGGGTGGGGGAGGGGGGGGTTTTTTACCTAACATTTTCCCATGAGCAAGAACTTGTCGACAGCGGCAAGGAAATAACTCCCTTAACAGGCAGAAACCCTGAGCAGAACCAGGCTCTGGGTGGATGGCCATCCGCCTCAACCGGTTGGGTTTAGAGAGAGAGAGAGACGAAGGGAGAGAGAGAGAGAGAGGGAGGGAGAGAATTGGGGTAGGGGTAGGGATTAGAGGATTAGGGGTAATATCAGGTTGAGAGGTTGGGTGACGTTGGGTCTTTGTTCTACTAAAGAACTGGCGGAACCGTTTCCACATAGATCTCTTATTTGATTTTTTCTGAACCTCTTCCATCTGATTTTCTAGATCCATTATTCCTCCCATCAGTCCAGCCGTAGCGCTGTCTTCGTCCTTGGCTTTCTCAGCCTGCTTGAAATCCCTGAGAGACTCCAGGCAGGACCTCTCCTCACTCCACTGGAGCCTTTCCCCTCTCCAGGTCTTCCTGTGCCTTCATCAATGCTGCCTTGAGGCCAGAGGTTTCCTGCATATGCTGAATCAAGAGATAGGACTTCTCTGTCTCCCATTCAAGTTTTTGTCCTCCAGGTCCTGGACAAATGCTGCCTCAAGCTCGGAGATTTCCTGCTCTTGTTCAGCCAGGGGACGAGACCTTTCCACCTCCCACTGGTGTTGTGACTTTACCAGGTAGTCTTCGGCCTGGGCCAGTGCAGATTTGACCTTGGATGTTTCCACTAGCTGTATGGCTAGGCATCACTTGGCCTCTTTCGTCTTCTCCGTTTCAGCCTGGAGAGCTTCCTCTAGTTTGTGTATTTGTTGGGCAGCGTCCCTTTCCATTTTCCCCATTTTGGACAGTTCAACAACTAGGATTGCTATCTCCTGGTTTGCTTCACTTGCTCGATGTTGGAGCAGTTCTTTTGATTTCTTCACCTCACTGGTGAATTCAAGCTTTTCTTTTACCAGCATGGACATATTCTCCCCCCCTTCTGCCCATTTAACTCTTGCTCAGGTACATGAAGGAGGCTCTGTTCGGTCATGTTTTTTTTTTTTACCTCAGGCCCAACGCTGGTATTTCCAACGGGAAACGGTTAGAGTTGAAATGTCACATGCTTTGGTTTGGTATTTACTGCAGGGTTGATATGGGTAGTTACTGCAAGCTGTGGTCTTTCCAGGATTCCAGGCCTGGAAAGACTGGGGTTAGGAAGTTACTGCAGACTTTAGTCTAGTCAGTGTTGTAGGCTGGAATTGTTGCTGGTATTTTTTGCAGGCATTTCTTTGGTAGTTATTGTAGCCTGGATTTTGGTAGTTATTGTGGCCTGGATTTGGGTAGTTATTGTAGCCTGGATTTTGTTGTTCATTGTAGCCTGGTCTTTGTTTTTTACTGTATCCTGGTCCTTGGTAGAAAAGCAGCCTGGACTTTAGCCAGCTGGGGGTAATAACTTTGGCACTGACAAGGTTTTAAATTCCACTCTAGGCTGTGTTTCAGTGGT